TGATTGCACCACAAAAAATGCGCGTTTCAACCTGCTTTAATGCCTTTATCGCTGGAATAGCACAAGTAGGTGAAGGCACTTACTCCCCTTTGCAGCAATTTCTCTATGCCAGTGGTTGAAATGGTGGTAGCACAGTCTTTGTACCAAAATAATGGCTGAGTGCGGTAATCCTATTTTACTCTTCTTGACACCTCCTCAACTGCGGAGGTGAATTTGGGAGTGAGGATGGCTACTTGTGTCTTTCTTTACCTTTCCAAAGGCTCTGTCTAGTTTACCTAAGTGCTTTCTAGAGGGTTTTGCTTGGGAGTAAAACAGTAAATGGTTACAGAGAAGGATGCTAAATGCCTTCATGCTAGTACTCTAAACTAGCCGCATTGTGGCATAGTGGTTGTGTGTGTGTGTGCGTGTGTGTGTGCACAGGTGTACAAATACTTATATATTTGAAAAACTAGAGACTGCTCCAGAACACCCCTTGCCCTCTTCCTCGTAGCCTTTTAGAGCCTCACTTTCCTCGCATATCATTTCCTGCTTTCCCACTGAGGAAAACCTCGGAGCCCTGAGTCCTTGCCTGTCCCCTTGTGTGAATAATCTGTAAGCTTTCTAACATTCCTCACTTTGCAGGAGACGCGCTGTCCTCCTTCCTTAGAGTATGCCAGAACTTTCTTTTCTCCCTTTCTTAGAGAGTGATGCCCCTTTTATAAAATCTCTACTGCTATGATAAATGACTTTGAGCGCTTGCCTTTTACCTCCTTTCTCTACCTTTAAAGTAAGGATGACAGTTATTCCTTATGTCACAAGGCTCTTCTAAGGCTTGATTCTTAGTGAAAACATTTTTTGTGGTGCTGAGAAGCACTGCACGTTTGCAGGATGTTCTTCCTATTTGTGATGAAGAAGCTTCATCAGCTCCACAATTCCACAAGGCTTTATCCTCATCACAGTATCCCATAAGGGTTACCTTAGGAGAGAAGAGAGTATTCTCATTTTAGATACCAGACTCTTAAAATGCCTGTTGTAAACTTCAAACCTTGCTCAAAGTTATCCTTATCTTTCCTGTAACCTCACTTCTTACTAGGGTTTTCTGGTTCCATACACTGGAAGGAATGATATTTTTTAATATCTTGAATCTTCATTGGAACAAAGATAACTTTCATAAACTTTCCTAGTTATGGAGAAGTCAGGTATCTGTGTTTCAGCAGGCAAAAGAGAAGGTGCTAGTGCAAACTGAATAGCTGCAAGTGCATTCTCATCCAGTGTCGTGGGGCATCATTGCTGTATGATGTTCCTGGCTCATCTTTCACTGGTACAGTTTTAAGATGAAGCATGTGAAAGGATGCTCAGGCCTATTGGGTAGCATTGAGGGTCTAGAAGTGGTGGTTTAGATCACAGGGCAGCATCTTCCACACTTTTATACGTATTTTCCAAGTCCGGATGGCCAAACTTCAGGCAAAGATCTTAAATGACTTGATTTTCAGAGGTACTGCTTACTGTCCCTCTAAATATCAGCCCTGCCTTTCCTCTTCTGTTTTTAAAATGTCTCAGGATGGCCAAATTCACCATTTCTGTTTGAAAAGCTTCATAGATGAATCCTTGCTCCACTAAAGTCAAATGGAGTCTGTCTGAGGACCTCAGTGGGCCAGAATTTTTTCTCCATGTTGTGGGTGGCAAAACTTTAGTTTGTATTTTTTGGCGATTTTTCTTCTTAGCTGTAAGGCGATGTTCTGTTGGGAATCTCCTTTGTTGCAGAAGAAATGCTATCTGATGCAATCGCAGTATACATTTGCAGAGTGAAAAGTCTGTATGGAACTTTTTATTTAAAAAATAAAAAATAAAAAAACCTGTTCCGATTACATCCCCCTGCCCCTCTCCCATGTCAAATCTACTAGCTTTCCACTCTCAACTCTGTAAACATTCACACTGGACTACCTTGCTGGTTTCTTGGTTTTAATTACAACCTTGGTTGGAATGATGCGTTCAAGAAAACATTATCAAAGACTTCTGTTAATGTTTTGCATCATAAAATTTGAGTATTTGGAGTTTTTGAAAGGATAAAATCTCTTTTTTTTAATCCCTTCCTAGCAGGAAATGCAGAAATAATTTGCTGCTTGAAGTCAGTTTGGTATTGCACCGCATGGTGGCAATGTTGTACAATCCTGTCTGAGGTGGGGAAAGTACAGCATGTGTGGGAACTTAGCAGTACAGTGCTTTGCTCCAGATCCCAGACTGAGTTCTGCTCAGGATTTATAGCATCATGTCTTCTAAATCTGCCTGTTACATCTTTAAAAAAATGTGTCTGCTTGACTGAAGGCCTGTCTGCGTTACAGAATATACTGTGTTAAGGCAGGGCTCCATCTTCCTCATGTGGGTGACTTTGTCCAAACTATGCTATATAACCATAGCTCAACTCAGGACCATATCTGATGATATATGCCATTTGTTCGACAGTGCAACCCTACGTGGATAGACGTCTCTTTACCTTAGTGCATGCAGCAGGAAAATCTGAGACAGTTGCACATTGAACAGGAGGATTATATTGGGAAAAAAATCTAATCAGCCTATTCAGGAGGGAACCTGGGAGATAAATTTTATGTTTGCAAATTAGACTTATCTCCGTGTTCTAATTAAAAACAAAGCCAAAAACATGATAAGCAGATCTGAAGGAAATGGATGATGTGGGGGGTAATTGATGTTTGTCTTTTTAAACGTCCAAGGCTCCTGATAAAGTGCTAAGTCCATTTGAACTGTAGGTCGTGAGGGGTAATAGATTTTAGGGGATGCACAGGTGTTTGCTTGTGCTGCTATTAAAGTTCTCTAGGCATCAACTGTCAGGCAGTATCAAAGGCAAGGGCTTTGTCCATCCTGGGTGTGATCTAGTTCAGCCGCTGATTCTAGGACATAAGACTTTAAAGAAAAACAGCTAATGTTGCAAGATTGATGAAAAATAGTGAAACTTAGCAATGTAGTATCAACAGAAAACAGTTATGTCATGTCAGTGAGAATTTATGCCCACGCTGTAGATAACTGTCTGGATTCAAACCTACAAGATAGGCACCAAGTGGCATGATGCTCTTCAAAGTTCAGGAAGGAGGCAAGGATTATGGCTAGCAGTAACGATAGCAACTTGGCTACAGCAACACTACTACTTAAAAATGATGAACGTTTTCTGTAGCTGGATATTTCTTATTAGCTTTATTCATGGATCCTTTAGGATTTAAATATTTAGACTTCCTTCACAACTTCTCAGCTACATACATACCTTTGCTATAGGGAAAAGTGGGATTTGTGACTGATTACATGATTCCAGAATATGAGGCTTAAGAAAAAACAGCTAATGTTGCAAGACTGATGAGAAGTTAATGAAAACTGGCAGTGATAATTAATTTAAAAAACCCTCACAATTTTTCATGTCTGTTAAAAGTGGGATATACCATAACATGGTTGTGTCTGTTGAGGCATGGTCAAACTATGCTATAATACTATGCTATCCCAGCATAATTTATTTTATGGATGTTCTAGTGAACATTGCAATTATAGGCTGTGCCAGATAAAAATGCTTTTTAGAACACATCTTCTTTTGTTTCAGCTAAAAAGTTTTCAGGTAAAAAAAAAAAAAAAGACTTTCCTACAGTAAAATAAAAAGTGTTACTTAATTTCATAGCACCAAACAGTTTTGGGATGTGTTTTATAGCAGTGATTAGGTCCTGGAGAAAAGTGTTTTTTTTTTTTAAGTCACAGAATTAACGTAGAAACCTATTTTCCCTTTTCCTAAATATGGTGCTGGGCATGAGAAGTCCACTAGCTTTTAAAGGTGGAAGGGATATAAAAAGATTTGAATTGTAGTTCTGTCATGGAATAAAATGTGCTGAAATCTTTCAGTACAAGGAAAGTATTTAAGTGAGAAATATACCTATCTTCTGTTTACAGTTCAACAATTAATGTTTGCGTGGTTAAAAGAAGTCATTACTGTAAGAGCCTGCTTTTCACTTTCATTAGCTTTTGGACAGCTGTATTGCTGAAGGATGTCATTAAAAGCAGCAGAGTATGGTCAGCTGAGCCGCATTACGCACCTAGCTTGCACATGCTTGCAGATTGGCAATTGTATGCATTTTACACAATCATATCTGGCTGGATTCACTGTCCCCCAGAAGGATACTTTAACAGGCTTTGGAATGAGTATTGATGCATACTTTTGTCTGTAGTTCTTGCTGGGTGGAGCTTGCAGATATTGTCAAGTGTGTCTTTTTGCAAGGGTAGGTAACAAAACAACAGTTTCACTACAAAGGAATACATGCAACACAAAGTTGTTACAAACTGGCAAGTGAGCAAGTTTCTACTTAACAGTGAGACTGGCTTAAAAATGTACTTAACTAATATCTGAACTGCATTAGATATTTTGCCTTTCAACCTCAATGGTGTTGATTTTGGTGAACTAACTTCTGTGCTTATATTCTTTTCAGGTGATGGACTATAACATCAACCTTGGAAAACACCTCCTTCCCTTGGTGGTGCAGGTGCTGAAATACTGCACTTGTCCTCAGCTAAGGCATTACTTTCAGCAGCCTCCTCGCTGCTCCCTCTGGTCCCTCAAGCCTCACATTCGGCAGATGTGGTTAAAGGCTTTGCTTGTCATTCTTTATAAGGTGAGTGATCTTAAAAAGATGCCATCCACCTTAAAATTCACACTTCAAAGTGAAATTTATTAGATAGAGCACATAACTGTACTACAAATGAAAGGAATTATAAAGAAGAATTTCTTTTCTTTGTTTTGCTTATTCTATGCATTTAATGTTAATTTGTCTGAAGTAGTTTACACTTTCATCTGTGCTGGTGACCTGTTACTCTTGTCTGAATTGTCTCTCCTACAGTTACCTGAGAAAGAAAAATACGTATTTGAAAATAGGAAAATAGAAACATTCTATATAAAGTTCCAAAAGCTGATAGACGGGAAAGGTCATGGATAGTATTCTGTGTAACGTAGAATTCATTTTAAAAAATGGAGTAACTTTTAAATGGGGTGGGTCAGCTTAACAACTTGTATTCTTTAATCAAGTGATGCTTTCAGGAAGTGTTATTAAAATACAATGTGTTTACATGCAGAAATGGAGACATGAATGCTTTTGGTATGTTGAGCAAAGTTCTAGCTGGCATATAGGGCGTGCAAGGAAGTAGAGACACTAGCAATGAATGATGATGTGCAGATTGAAACAGAGTATTTGAAGAACAGCTCTGCAGTATTATTAAAAATGGGTTTTGTAATTAGAAAGTCAAGGAAACAATATAATAAATCTTACTAATAGTGAATGTTTTAAAAAAAAATGTCTATACAAAGCTGAAAACAGTCCTGCTTCTCATGCTGTATTTAGAAGTGTATGATCAAAGTAAGGCAAAGGATAGCCTGCTTACGATATTCTTGTCATTTTTCTATTTTACTGCCTAAACGTTTATCCAAAGTTAGTTTTTAAGCTGAAGTTTTTCTCTTTCACTGAACAGTACCCCTACAGAGACTGTGAAATCAGCAAGATTGTACTTCATCTAATCCACATCACAGTCAATACCCTCAATGCTCAATATCACAGCTGCAAGCCCCATGCAACTGCTGGTCCTTTGTATAGTGACAACAGTAACATAAGCCGATACAGTGAAAAGGAAAAAGGTATTTTAAACACTCATTTTTATGATAGTCTTTGATTTAGTTCATTAAGTCTCATCGCTGTTGTAGATAAAGGGTAAGTGAGGTCTGAGATCTAGAATATAGGTCTCAGATTGAAGACCAAGTTGTGATTCATTTGACCAACTATAGCCATCTATAGGAAAAGAAAAGCACTGTATGTCTGGCGACTGAGCATAGCATAGCCTTGTCTTGGAGGGAATGTACTTAAGGCTTAGTAGTTCAGTCGCCATGTCTGGCTAGTCCTTGGTCTTTTTTATGAAGATATTAACTGCTTGCAAATTTGATGTAGAATCATGCCCACACACAAGAGAGACAATCAACCTGTTACCAAGTTGTGGCTATTTTCAGATATTGGGGCTAGGATTCGTTTGACAAAGTGTAGACATCTGTACACGTGCTAGCTATCTAGAATCCAGTCAGAGTTAAGAGGAAAAACAGGTGCTTTTGGAGTGCATATCATTTCATCCCAAAGCAGATGGTCAAAACAGTGAATGCCATATAGTACCTAGTTCATAGTAACATGTATAGGAGCAAATAGTAGATGTTGAAATACGAAAGTGATGAATTCGGTCTATGGTTTGTTTTTTCTCTGACTGTGAAAGGAGCTGCAGTTGACCTAGCTTAAATACAGACGGGTATGACGTAGATATCTCAGGGAAGAGGAGGATGCTTCCACCCCCAGAATCTGTGTCTGATTGTTAACTTTCCTGTATGTGCTTGACTGCATTCTGTATGATCTAGCTATGTAACCCAGGTACTATGATGTTGTGAGCTGGAGTGAGTTTAGGTCCTGAGAAGTAGTACGTGTCACTGAATGCGATTCCCTACAATTGCAAAGTTTATTATGTGATAAGTATATCTGATCAAAGTTTAAAAGGTTCTTTTTATGTTAATCTACAGCTACCTTTTAGTCATTTGTTATTTACATCCTCCTTTTCAAACACTCTTCCTAGTGTGCAGCAAACTATTCTTCCTGAAGAAGAAGAATACAAGGAGCACTCTGTCCTTTTATGCATGTCAGTACCTTTTCTCTTTTGCTGCTTGTTGCTCAATGAAAAGATGTCCAACAGAACAAAGACCTGAGATTTTGTTTACTTGAAGACCCTATCAATCAGCTCTAGCAAATTAAAGGAACCGTAAAGTGGATGTAAATGATGCATTACATACTCTATCTCACTTAAACATTTTATATTGCCAGAGGAAGGCTAAGAGGCTTCAGATTACTGTGAACTTACCATGAACTTATCTTTACTTTGAGCTGTAGAAGTGAGTTAGGGTGACTTCAGAATGTTAAGGGTAGTAGTAACACATTTATAAAGTTGAGTCGGTGTCTGGGTTGTCTTGGAAACTTTTCAGAATCTAAGTGAAGTGCCTTAATATTCAGCTTGCTGTTCTGTGAGTATCAATTTAGGTTTAGAAAATCCGGTGTGCCAGTCCTGTATCTGATTTCATGGGTGCCCTTGGGTCTCACTTCATCACTGTTTCCCCTTGTTTAACGTAGGGAGAATAATATTTACTTGCTTCCTAAAGCTGTTATGAAGGGTGTGGGGCTGCTCAGAGGTAAAGGACTATAAAAGGGCAAACTTTTACTTTGTAAATGCTGACTTAATCAAAGGGGTGAATCTCCTCCTTTGCTGACGTTGTATAGGAGGGCAAAAAGAAGATGTAAGGAAGTTTTCCTCCACCTGCAAGAAGCAGCCAAGATCATTCCATAGGCGTGTGGAAGGCTGAAGCCTCCTTCCCTCCTTCACCTTTCCTAAGGAGTCTGGTTTAGTCTCTAGCCAGGTAGTATGTGAGCTGCTATCATCATCAAAGGTGATGTTTAGATGGTCATGAGAATTTTATTGTTAGGCAGCAAGAATCCCTATGCCGAGGATGAATTTCCCAGTATTGAACCTCTATTCTAATTTTTTTGCTACACTTTGTAATTGAGGTCCTAACAAGTGTACAGGTTGTTGTAGAGCTGATGATGAATCCTGTGAGAAGAGGGAAAACAAATCTGATGCCTAGGACATAGAGCTAAAAGTGATCTCCCAGCTTATTCAGCCCAGTGTCTGTAGAAATCCATAGTATCAACTAATTTTGTTAATTTTCTGGTTTCGTCTTATCAGTTGGGTTTCTTACCCTTGATGCTTTTAGGTGGCTGTTCCATAATTTCACATCTAATAGAAACTTTCTACCAATTTCAAAGTTAAATATATTAACATCTAGTTTATATCTTCAGTTTTAGGCCGTTGTTACTCTTTGGCTTATTTGTCTCTTTGTTCTTAGACACCGAACACGTTCCATCTCAGTGTTTGCTTACTGGAATAAACAAGGCAAACTCTTTTTGCTTCTTCTGTTAAGATGAGTGCTTTATTTTCTTTAATGTCCTAGTAGTGTTTCTTGTTTCCTTGGAGGTGCCTCAGTGCGCACACACAGACTTGAATTTTTCCTTTTTTTATAGTCATTTCATACAAGTGACATATGGTAATTGTTTGATGGATGAATAGACTTGGATCTTTCTTCCTCCCCGCCATTTCTAACTGCCAGGTCTCAAATTGAAGCATAATATTTTGCTATTACATCCTACATTAATAATCTCACTATTCATACTGTTAGGTCTGATTGTATTACTATTACCAGCTTCCCAAGATTATCCATTTCTTCCTGGTTATTATTTTGATCCTCCTCATATTGGTCATGTTTGTACTTTTGTATTATAGGTTTAATAACACACTCCTATATTTTCTCTCTAAGTAGCTCATTGAACTATTTGAAACTCGTCCTAAGACTATTCTTGTAGAATTCCACAAGTGAACTCCTTCCATTTTTTTTCACTTTCCTATTTTGCTAGTTCATTACTCACTTTGCAGTTCTTGTACTAATTCCTATCTCTTTCAATGTGCTAGTTCTCACTGAGCACTATGTTTAGTTTTTTATATATATATATTTTTATATATAAGTACAGTGTCCAGATCTACCATTTTTCTTTGATCTAAAGAATCTCTTGTCTGTCTTATTAGTAAAAAGAATCAGGTTAGAATGGTAAAAGCTTTGGCATTCTTTTGTTGCATTGTATCCCATTTTTTCCGTTTATTTCTGTCCTTTCGGATCTTAAAAATTCAAGATGTAACAAGAATGACAAAGGATATACTTGGGATATGCATTTCTTTACAAGTTTCATATGATCCTTCATTTTCCAATTCAAAGCTACTTTAAACTAGCTGAGGATTTGTTACATAGACTGTTTTTCATTCAAGGAATTGTACTCTCTTAAGAGTATTACTGTTTTTTCTTTCTCCAGCAGAGGAAGACAGTGTTTTTGATGAATCTGATATTCATGATACACCAACTGGACCTTGCAATAAAGAGTCTCAAACTTTCTTTGCAAGACTGAAAAGAATTGGTGGCAGCAAAATGGTGAAATATCAACCAGTTGAGATGAACGCTCAGAGAAGTATGAATTTTTATCGGTATAAACTCATGCAGAAATACAATTTCCTACTGTTAGATTCAAGCTATCACCTTTTTTTGAAGAGTTTTTTGCACTGCCTAATTTAAATACAAAGACTCCCTTTGATTTTTGAGAGCAGGTGCTGTCCGTTTCTCTGAAATGAATTCTCTTAAAGGAATCTCAAAATAAGCACTCCAAAATGAAACATATAAACGTTTCATGAAAACATGTGAAATCAGCAGTCATTTTCTGAAAACTTAAGCTCTTTTGAAGATCAGAAAGTGTCTTAGGAAGACTTACTGTAATCTTTTTCTACCATTTGGCGGAAAAATTTTATTCAAATTAATTTGTTGCACATAAATTGGCTTTTTGATTATGTGGAACTCTAGGACAAGCAATTTTTGTTGCTACAAATACACTAGTTTTTCATTTCATTAGCAAAATGGGTCGATTGCTGGTTTCCAAAAATAGAAAGGGGTTCTATCTTTCTGTTTTCAAGTTCAGGATTCTTAAATGAACATCTTGAAAGGTAAAGCATCAAAGACCCCCCCCCCCTTTTTTTTCTTGTATTTGCATGAGGAGAGTAACATTCTGACTAGAGTAAACATTTGCTTTAACTTTCCTTGCTACTTTTTCGCATGGTGATTTGTATGTGGTGTGTTTTGAAATATAGGGCTAGTAATGATCATGAATATTATGTGTTACTCGAATACATGTCATTGAATGTTCACATGGCAAAATAGAAGCACAGTGGTAGCACCAGCGAGCATACCTGCACTCACTTTACTCCTACTAGGATGAGGAACTATGACTATGTGATGAGATAGACCCCAGCAGAGACTAGCAACTAAGATTTCTGGAGGAATAATTTTCTGAACAGTTGTCTCTGCTGAAGCTTGTGCTGGCACATCCTCACTGCTGTTGCTGCCCTTACTTCTTGAATTAGAAGCATCCTGGTTAAGTCTACCTATGCTGCTGTAAATAACACACAGATGTGCTCTAGTATATACATTGTGCACAACACTGCAGTCACTGTGCATAATGCTGTAATCAAAGATTACAGTGAAAACTCTGAGGTTGTCTCTGTAACTCGTTTCTTGTTTCACCTCTCACGCAATGCAGCCATCCCAAGTGGCTGCAGAAATTATTGTTTTGTGCCATCTTCTATTTGACGCATAAGGTCAAGTGGACTATCTTCAGGGTACATCTGTCCCGGATGAGTAGAATTATTCGGATAGTAGCTCTTTTGTTGTTTGTTGTAAAAATCTATGTAATGTGGCTCTGAGATTAAAACAAATCTTCAGTGGTTTTGACTGATGTGTAACTAATACTGGGTTTCTATCAGAAATGCCGGTTATGTGCTGAATTGTGAGTTGACAAAAATATCTGCCAAAAGTCTCCAACGGAGATAGTATCAGCTCTTTCTGTTTTAATCAGGTGAAATAGAGCTGGCTGAATATAGAGAGACGGGGGCCTTACAAGACAGTATTCTACGCTGTGTGAGAGAAGAAAGCATTCAGAAAAAAAAACTGCGCTCTCTAAAACAAAAATCTCTTGATATAGGGAATGCAGACTCCCTGTTGTTTACATTAGATGAACATCGTAGGAAGTCCTGCATAGACCGATGTGACTTAGAAAAGCCACCTGTCCCTGCTGCTTACACCATGCACAGACAGAATGATTATGGACGACCTCGGCAGAATTCTTCTACCAAAACTGAAAATATAGAAACGCAAGAAAATCCCCCTCCTACAGAGAATTTTCAGGAAACAAGAAGACCTGTCATACCAGAAGTCAGGTTAAACTGCATGGAAACCTACGAAGTGAAAGTGGACTCTCCGGTTAAACCTTCTGTTCCCAAGGAGGATTTAGATCTGATAGATTTGTCCTCTGACTCAACATCGGGTCCTGAAAAGCATTCTGTACTCTCTACTTCAGACAGTGACTCTTTAGTCTTTGAACCACTTCCTCCCCTTAGAATAGTGGAGAGTGATGAAGAAGAAGAAACAACAAACCAGTTAAATGATGAGGTCGCTGGCAAAACTGCTGTGTCATCTCCCTCAACTCCTATGAATGCCTCTGCACTCAGCCTCAGCACAACTCCTCTGGTCCAGTTCAGCATTGAAGATTGCTCCAAAGACTTTAGTTCCAAGGATGCTTCACTACTCCCAAAGATCGAAAGGACTCTTCAGATTTAGCTAAGCCAGAGGAACTTCAGGACATGTCCTGTGGGAACTCACTAACACTGAAGCAGAAAAGGGATCTGCTGCAGAAGTCATTTGCCCTTCCAGAAATGTCCCTTGATGATAATTCTGAGTTCAGTGTGGAGGAAATTAGACCTAGTGGAGCAATTCCAAGCCCCAATGTCAAAACAGTCCTTATTAAAGTTCCTGAGGATTCTGAAAACCAAACAGAAAGTGATAAACTTGACACCAACACAGAGTCTGACGCTGAACAAAATACAGATCAGAAACAAGACGAGGAGGCTGAGGAGTCAGAATTTAAGATTCAGATTGTTCCCCGCCAGAGGAAGCAGCGAAAGATTGCTGTGAGCGCTATTCAGAGAGAATACTTGGACATTTCCTTTAACATCCTAGACAAGCTGGGAGAGCAGAAGGAGGCAGGTGAGCTCAACCACTGACACCATCAAAAGGCTTAATACGGTGTGAAGCTTTTAGTAACAGATCAGTGTAGCGACAGGTGTATATAGAGCATCTGGTGTGATCTGAGCTAGCTGAATGCTTTTCAGGAACTTTCTGTTCCTCACTGCTGGGGCAAACTGCCAGGGGAATGTACTAGCTAGACAGTTACTGTGCATGAGCAAGGGTCCCTTTAAAAAGAAAGTTCGAGCTCAATCACAAAAATACTGACTCAGACATCAAAGTTAGGGAGTGAAATTCCATGGCCTCTATATTAAGGGTATCAGAAAAATTGTCATACATGTGCCTTTTATCCTTAAAACTTGTTAGTCTTCTCCATGCTACACTAATTATCTTTTGTATGTAGTGTTTTTGGACTGCACTTTTTCTTCTGCAGACACAAGGCATTAGACAGCAAACCAAATTGTGAAGGGTAAACCTGGGCAGGCTGAGGACTTCTTCAGAACTGAGAGACCTGGAATTAACTGCTGTTTGCATTTAGGATCAGAGATTTTCTCCTATTTTGTTTTTATACATTAGCAAATTTTTCAACCTTCTTTGTTCATGGATATTTACAAAGTTTGCAAGGCTTGTTTGTCAAAGGTTTAAAGTTCAGGCATAGTTTATGGGGAAAAACATACAATATTTCTGTGTATCCCTAGCTAATGCAGGTCATTTCAGTATAGGGTTTTGTTACTTAGTTTTTCAGGTGGAGAGACAGTGTATTTTAGCTGTGAGTTCTGGGTAATATTTATGTATTCCTGACCTCACTTCCCTCTTAATCCCTTTAGAGGGAACCATACTATAGTTTCATGAATCATAGTAAGAAATTATGATATTCCAGTTTTGCATGGACAAATTATTCAGTATGACCATAGTTATGCTGTTCCCTTTACGTTTGAGGCCTCACGTCCCATTCTGGTTCCAGTAAGCTAAAGAACCTCTGCAGCTTTGTAAAACAAATAAAAACCAAGTGCTTTTGAACTTTTCACATAGGTCCTTAGAGAAGAATGGCCATAACAGAACAGCATATTTAGACTCAAATGCTTTTTTGACCTGTACATCAGAAAGGACTAGTTTTCATATATAAGTTCACTAATGTCCTTGGAACTGTGCTTGGAAAGGCTGCCCCAGTCCTGAAATGCTATGTGGAACCTAACATTTACTCATATGATAATCGTTTGGTTACATGCATCTGACATCCAAGAAGAACATAAAATATTCACAGTGACTTATTAACTATTCATAGATGTTATAGGTTGATACAGGCAATTCAGATAACTAGGCAATTCAGTGATTTGGGCAGTTTAGTTTATCTCTTTGTAAGTTCTGTTTTACTTTTGTTTATCCTTATTAATTAGTTTATTTGAGAATGTATTTTTTGGAATTCATTTATGTAGCCTTAATATCATCATTATAATTTGCTGATTATAACTTTGAAGTCTTCTGCAAGCTTTGATAGCCTATTATATTTGCATGTATTTTAAAAAGGCTTCTGACATAACCCATTAGGATATTTGATTCATAGATCAGTTATTTCCTCAAGTGAGCAATTCTGGGGTGCAGAGTTTTGTGCATGAGGCTATTTATATATATCCTCCTACATATATATATATATATATATACATATATATATATATATGTACAGAGAGAGAGAGAGAGGCTATTTATATATATCCTATATATATATATTGGATATGTTGAAGTCAGCCAGCAGTACTTGAAGATTTTTTTGCTTCATTCTTTCCATGTTGACAATACCTGTTTTCATAAAATGAAACATTAGCTGTAATAGGTTCTTTTTTTTAATGAGTCCTTCTTCTGTGCTTTGAATCTTTACAATCAGCTGCTATGTCAGCAACCTTTTGAGTGAAAACTGATGACGTGTTGGAGATAAAGGTTTTAAAAGATGCTAATCTATCACTTAAATTAGCTTTATGTCAGTGATGCATCTCTTATTTCCGTGTTGGTGGTCCTGATGATCACTCTGTGAGTGGGATCAGAATCAAATTCTATATTCATTTACTAATTCTGAGCTCTAAGAGCCATATGTACGAATCTCCTTTGAACAGTGATTTAAGTAATAGACCCCTGTGCCTCGTTAATAATAACCACACACTGAATCATTTTAAAACTCTGGGGAGCGCCAGATAGTGAAACGAAGATGGAAAAGATATGAAAAAGGCTACCAGGGAGAAAGCCGATGGAAAATATTGATTCTAAATACTGAGAATTTAAGCACCGATTCCACATGCAGATCCTGCTGTGAAAGGACTTTCAACTCTGGAAATGCCAAGAGAATCATCTTCTGCACCGACCCTTGAAGCAGGTGTGCCAGAGACAAGTAGTCACTCTTCCATATCAAGTAAGTTTACCACTGTTTTGAGGACTAGATCTCGGTCGCTGCATTAATACATCAGATGCATATAATAGATGGCAAATGCCTCCTTCTAAATGTCATTGATACTTGGAAATACAGCTGTGTTGGGTATCGTTAGGTCTGTTATCTCTGATTGTCAGCAGGATGTCAGCACTTAGTGGCTGCAAAATCTTCTACTGTGAAATGGCAGACTTGACAAATGTGGTTATCCTGACTTAGAGAAGGTGGCAGCTAAAAGGAGAGATGTCATAGAACACCTTCACAGAATCCAGAGCACCATGTCCATCTAGATAGTTTTAAGTAATGCCTCTGAGGGTTGATGGGGCAAGACTCTGTGGCTGGTAGAAAAGGGAGGGGAAATGGTGATATGCTTTGACACCAGTGAGCTGCTAGATCAGCTAAACAGTCTCATTGAATGGGACTTTCAGATTGACATAGAAAAGTTAAATGTTAATTTCTGAAATTCAACATCTGCTAATTTGATTGGAAGGGGTGTCTGACCGATTAGGGGATGATTTACTGTAAAAATGCCAGATAAGGATTCAGAATAGATGTTTCCTCCCCAGTTTTGCCACAAGCATCTTGTGTGATGTGCATCTCACAGGGAGTTGAACATTTTCTGGCTACCTAATAACCCAGACGGGATTTACTGAGGCAGCTAAAGGAGTGCTAGTTAGGATCTATCTCTGTGTAATTTCACTGAATGCTAGGTTTTTCTGTAAATTCCAGTATATGGACTCTGGAGTAGTAGCAACATCATATACGGCCTAAATTCTTTTGTAAGTATGCCTTTCCTCTTTCTGTGTGCCTCAATTTCCAATTGTAAAGAGTGGGCCTTAATACTTCCTCTGTGTCTCTTGTCTATTTAGACTGGAATATTTTGGGCCTTTTACTATGTACCTTTGTAGTGCTTAGCATAATAAGCCATGGTCAGGATTGTGAGCACACGGCACTTTGGTAACACAAATAGCTTGTACAGCCAGTGCATGACCACAGAAAGCGTATGTCATCAAACAGTTGTGATAGGAAGATACTAGCTTTCGACTTCCCTTTTTGCATAGAGAATTCCACAGAAATAGAAGAATGAACGACCAGATCACTAGCTAACACATGAAAGGATCACCAACTAATATATGAAAATTAACTATCCTCTCATGGTTGTTAGGTTACATGTCAAAAAATCTATTCAAGGAAAACTTTCTTCCACCTTTGTCTGGTCAGTCATAGGCATGAAAATTCATATGCTGTTCTGCAGCAACCAGCCTGCCTCCAATATGTCTCAAAGGCTGGCAGGTTTCTGTTTTGTTTTTGTTTTGTTATTGAGTTTTGTTTTTGTTTTTTCTCCTTCAATATTTGAAATCGCAACTGTCCTTGCAAAATCAGGTAAATAACTCTGGAGTCCAAACCTGTTCAATAATAGCCTGATAATGTGAAATATGCATGAAAAAACTTTAGTTACAATCATAAAAGCTGTTAAGAAAATTCAAAGAGATAATTTTCTAGATTTTGACAGTCATCTGCACTCCAAGCAGTCTTGTCAGTTCTAATGTTAATTGCTATTCTTTCATCAGAAAATTCTATGCTTGATAAGGTGATAAAGCATCTATTTAAAATCTTTGCCCTGGAAATGATGGAAATTATATTATTCTCCTAATTTTCTGTGAAAGGCAGCTGCAAAATAATTCAAAAGTCGAACATTGAACGGTCTCTTAGTCTGGTTCAGTTATACAAGGACTGCTTTGCAGTGAGATTGGAGGAGTTTGTTTTACTTGGACCAAAAATAGAGTTAAAATGTACTCTGATACGTTGGAAGGATATAATGAGGGAAAACTTAAAATACTTATCCTAATAAAATTGTTTCAGCGTGCGGATTCCCACTGAAGTTGTCATTGTGCTTATTATTGCTCTATGTCTATATTTGTTTTGTTAGGAAATTCTCTGCTTTTTCTGAATTTGAAACTTGAAGTTAGAAAATGAATAGAGCCAGTTCAGGACCAAGACGCTGAACCCCTCAAAGCTTTTGGAAAGTTGTGGTTTATCCCTTGTGTGTGGTTTTTCATTGCAGTTAATGTGAAAGACTAGGTTTATTTTCAAAGCTTAGTTGGTTACCACTAGGAATTTTAGAAGTAAATTACCTGATGTTACATTATACTGTTTTTAAATGATGTTAGATGTAGCTGTAGATGAAAACAATCATAAGATTAAGATTTTGTTTTGTTACCCTTGCTTTAAGGAAGCACTCAAAGCATTCAGGAAAGCACTTAAACGTATGTTTAAGGTAACATATCCAAAAGCTTTGCTGCACGGAGATGCATGTAAGCACAGTCTCACATGCGATGTTCAGCCAAGGTCTAAGACTGTCTTCACACAGGATTTTGGTTTCAGTGGCAGAAATACATTGTTCAGACTCCACTGGCAAAGTGATTGTGTTATGCTTGTTCAATATGACCTGTCCCATGAAAGGAGAGAAAAGAAAGAAAGTTAGGAGTGTTCTATGATCTGTTTCTTCCTCCGTTCAAGCACTGAGAAAATACATGACAGTAGCAGTCCTAAAATATAAGTCCACAGGGTTTTTTCTCTGGGAGCATTGCTCAGTGAGACATATCCGTTAGAACACGGAGTAACGCCCATTTAAAAAGTACTGTAAATACCAAAAGAGAAAACAGCAAATGCTAGTTCCTTGGTAAGTATAGTCATATAAGGGGAATGGTGAGAAGAAAGGGTAGAACAAGGGAAGAGAGAAAGATAGGGGGACCCATCTGCAAAGGCGTGCTGGCCTCATGCTTCAGAAGAATGTGCAGTGTTATGCCTGAGTGGTGGATATTCAGGAGGCCTCTTCAGGTTGCCTCACCCATGAAAGGTGCTGATGGTATACAGTCGGTGAACGCTTTTTCTCCAGTGATCGTGGATAGAGTACTCCTCCATGCTTTGCTGGGTGGAGACTGAGCTTCACGCAGCATTACTCAGTATGCTGTGTGCAAGTGAGATTCCAGTATATTTTTATCACCTCTCAGCATGGGAGCTTTGTGGTGTTGTCTTACGCTTCATAGATATCTAGTGTTTTGAAGAGCTTTTGTGACATGGTGACAAGAAGTCACTGACAGTTGGCACAGTGGGTGAGATCCTGGATCCAAGTCATTTATGACTTATATAATTGGGGCCAGAATTTTACCCCATATAGTTGTGTGAAAAGTACATACTGCCTTGAGCAAGATCCTTAGGGCAAGCAGTTCATGTCCTGTCAGTATTTATCTCTTCCTGATTGGTAAGATCAGGAAATAAGAGTAGTTTTACATGTTGTGTGAGCCCCTGAACTCTTGCATTTCTGACTTGCAGCTCAGTTCAGACAAATGAAAAGAGGCTCTTTGGGAGCTCTGACAATGAACCAGCTAATGAAGAGACAGCTGGAACACCAGTCTAGTGCTCCCCACAATATCAGCACTTGGGATACTGGTGAGCTGCATTTCTCTGTTCTTTATTTCTTTTCCCTTAAAACAATTACCCTCCATATCAATCAGTATTTAAAAAGTGAATATTTCTGTTCTGCCATTGGAGAGAAGTAATCAAGCTCAAGTCTAAAGTGAAATTGTGTAGTGGGTGCCAGATTCTCAACTGGTTAAATTGGAATAATTCAGTAACTGGGGCATAGCCCCCTTGGTACAGTGGTTCCCACTATTTTGTACATTATTAGGATGAATTCCTGGCCTCATTGAATGAAATAGAAGTGTCATCATTGACTTTAGGTATAGGATTTCATTGCTGGTACATGGAATCATTTATTTCTATATACATTTACAATGGTGCTGGCACACTAAACATTTGCATCTTATAGCAGCCAGTTTCATTTCCCTTTAGAGAAGTTTCTTCCAGCTCATGCTGAAAGCCTGAACTTTCTATCCAGTAACTGACGTGTTTTTTTTCCCCCTTTAAGAATATTGCAAAGCAGGCAATGAAAACTGAATTAGGCACATAATTTCTCTATCAACCCTGAGGAGTGTTTTGTTTTTAAATTTTTTTCTTCCATATAAGATTTTCTTCATGGCAGATGTCACTAAACAATTAATTTATGCTGCTTTGACATAGACACTAGATATTTCCTTGCTCATCTTGATATTAGTGATGTTACAGCACTGTGCTTCTTAGGAAGTCATGAGCAGGTCCAGATGCACCCAGAGAAAGGAACATTTAAAACAATGAGTGGAACTTAGCATGCTATTGGATGAATGTCTCACTACCAGTTGTGGACAGTTGGCTAAAAAATTTTGCTTAATTGAGTCTTCAGTCTGAAGTGCCATCAGACTCAATCTTGTAGCTGAAGCATGGCCTAAATTATGGTATATAGTTTAAGATTATCCTTTTTTTACCCTAGTTTACTGAGTAGCATGCTCAGTATAAGATCCTTAATTCATCGAGGTCAGAATTTGTCAATGATAGCAACTAATTTTTTTTTTTTTTGGTTTTATCAGCAGGTAAACTTATTTATAGGGAGAACGTAGTTGGCATCATCTAGTTTCTCAGCCCGGGTTTTAGAGACGAATAACTTAATACTTCCAGAGGGACAAGTCAGCACTCAAACCATTTAGGAACTCTTAGTAATCTTGTTCCATGCCCAACAGCTTTCTTCACAACATCTATGACTTTTCCCTCCAGCATTCATTCCATCTACAGTCCTCCAAGCATAGAGATACTATAGTGAAATGTCCTTTTCCAGAAAACTTTACTTACCTCAGTCTCTCTTTCAGCTATTAGCTTTAAAGCAAAATTATTATTTGGACAGATAAAACAGTTTTTCAGAACAAACACTGTGTGACTACTTGTCATCTCAATGTCACCGCAATATGGGACTAATTTTCAGATGGATGCTTCTCAGCTACGAAATAGTTTTATGCTACGCCAGCATATGGGAATATGTCATTTTATGTATGCTTTATGTTTTTAACTGTAGTAGGTGACGCTAGGTACCA